TAGGAGGAGGACTCCTCCTCCTTGGCGCGCCCACAAGGGCCGGCCGACCTCCCCCCTTGCTCCTTTATATACGGGGGCAGGGGGCACCCTAGGACACACAAGTTGATCTTCAAGATCGTTCCTTACCCGTGTGCGGTGCCCCCCTCCACCATATTCCACCTCGGTCATATCGTCGCGGAGTTTAGGCGAAGGCCTGCGCCGGTAGAACGTCATCATCGTCACCACGCCATCATGCTGACGGAACTCATCCCCGACAGTTTGCTGGATCGGAGTCCGGGGATCGTCATCGAGCTGAACATGTGCTGAACTCGGAGGTGCCGTACGTTCGGTACTTGGATCGGTCGGATCGTGAAGACTATGACTACATCAACCGCGTTGTCATAACGCTTCCGCTTACAGTCTACGAGGGTACGTGGACAACACTCTCCCCTCTCGTTGCTATGCATCACCATGATCTTGCGTGTGCGTAGGAATTTTTTTGAAATTACTACGTTCCCCAACAGGTAGACCACAACGCTGCCGCCTCAAGCCACAAGCCAAACAATGGCCAACCATCGCACCGCCGAAGTCTGCACCACCGTCCTAGCCCACTGCAGCCACAAGGATGACCACCCGTGAGCAGGAACCGCCGCCACCTTCAGCCGCTGACACTAGCCGGCAGGGCGACACCTCCAACCCGCGCGGCCGCAGCGCAGGTCCGTCGATGTCCACCATGTAGCTCGCACCAGCGCACCACCGTCCTGCCCGCCTGATGCCACGTCGTCGCGCCCACCGCCAACCCACGCTCAGGCCCTGGGGAGCGCGCCCGTGATGCCATCGTCGTGCGGGAGGATGTCGGGGCCCCGCTGCCGCTGACACCGGTCAAGCTTTGCCCAACTGTTCCCACTGGAAGCGGTGAATCAGGGGAAATGAGGAGGGGTGTGGGGTGTGGGTGGCGAGATCTAGGTCGCCCTCCCTGTTGCCTTGTGGGGGTGACGCGGGAGGGTTCGGGGGCGGAGTCCGAGATCATTAGGCTGATACATATCTTTACCTAATAATAAAGCAAATTGGGTTTTCTTTCGTCCGTCATGGAATTTTTCAGAAAAGTCCTTCCATTTCAGAGAATTCAACGCGCAGTCCTGTTTTAAGTTAAAACGAATCGTTATTTCCGTATTTTACGCAAAAGTCCCTGTCTTTTCTTTAAATCAACCCGCCGTCCGTATTTAAGTCACACCCGAACCGTTATTTTACATTTTTCGAAACCTCCCCCCCCCCCCTGATGGTTTAGGTAATTAATCCGCGGATCATATTTAAGTCAAACAAATGCTTTTTAAAATCATCCATATCTTTTAAACCGTAACTCCGATTTGAACATGTTATATATGAAATTTGATTAAAAGATATGTAGAATATGAATATGAGATTATTTTTATCTGTTAAGTATTTTTAAATATTATTTTGGAATATATTTGAGTCAAACCAAATGATTTTCTAAATTATCTGTTAAACCGTAACTTTGATTTTAACATATTATATATAAAATTTTATTAGAAAAATGTGTGGAATCTAAATATAATGTTAATTTTACCTGTTAAATATTTTTAAAATATTGTTATGGAAGCAAACTTATAATTTATAGCGCAAGATCCTTTTTTTCATACCGACGGCGATCAGGATTGCAAATAAACACCCCACTATAACCATATACGGAGAAGAAAACATCAATAACTACACATGCATACCTCTGAAAAATGTCGCAGGGGAAAACAACAGATTTCTCATTGCGAGAGTGAGAGAAAGCGAGCGAGAGAGAGAGAGAGAGAGAAGGAGAGAGAGGGAGGAGAGAGGGAGGAGAGAGGGAGAGAGAGACGCCTTAGGATTAACCATATTCAACACACGTTTTTTGTTGTTTTGTATGAACACCGAGGCCATCGCCGGCGAGGGTGAGAAGGAGGATAAGCGGCAACACAAATATGATGCCTCGCAAAAATAAAGGAGATGGACCTATTGTGGTCTTGAGTAATGGTTGTTGAGTTAAGAGCGTGTGTTATGTTTTCTCTCCCGTTGCAACGCACGAGCTCTTTTGCTAGTAAATCCTATAGGTGCTTTGTCGGTAATAAAGTTCAAGCGTTGCAAAACATGTTTATTTTATCTTATCTTTTCGTTTTTGCTTCCTATTTTTTTCTTGTTCTTTTGGTCCTTTTACTTATTTAATTTTTGGCCTTTTACATTACCCATTTCTTTTTTTCTGGTTAACATTTTTCCATCGTGCCTGTACAAAGAAGTTCATATTGTATTTCTAATATATCCATGGTGCAATTGAAAAATGTTCATCATCCATGAGAAAGGATCACTGGGGGCAGCTGGACTGAGCCGGCCCGTTGGCAACATTGTTACTGTAGGCTGTAGCTGCGGTTCAAATAAAAATGTGAACTCTTCTGAAAAATGGGAACACATTCTCGAAAAATCAAAACTTCCTTAAAACTATAAAATATTTGAATTTTGTGAATATTTTTGTAAAAGGTGAACAAATTTTGAAATTTGTAAACATTTTCTCAAAACTTATGAACAATTTTTGAACTACAATTTGTTATTCGATTCTTAAAGTATTTATTAAAAAAATCCCAAAAATCTGGATGTTTTCTAGAAACACGAACGAATTGGGAAACATTTAAAATATTTTTAAAATGTCAATTTTTTTAGAAAATGTCAAAAACAAATTGAAAGTCTGAACAATATTTGAATATTTGAATATTTTTTGAAAAAGTGATTTTTTAAATTTGGAACTTTCTTTCAAAATGCGAACTTTTATTTAAAAAGCTGAACAAAATTTTGAATTTTTGAGCATTTAATGGAAATGCAATTTTTTTTTGAAGATTTTGTTTTTTAATTTTTGATTATATGGAAAAATTAAGACGAAAACAGGAAAGACTAAAAGAAAGGAAAAAAATGAACAATAAAATCCCAAAGTAAACCAGAAAACCAGTAAAGAAAATGGCAGAAAAAACCGACTGAGGCACCTTCTCGAAGTTCTCCAAAACCGGTAGAAAAATCATTATACTTGCTAGCTAAAATGGGTCGGTCACAGATCGATCGCCTCGCTCGCCTGTTCGATCGGGGTACTATTGGACGTAGTGAGTGCACAATAAGGAATTTGTGGTGAAAGATAGCCGCGGCCTTGATGTACCGTTAGCGGTGTCTGTAGTGTTCACTGCGGCCGTAACAAACCGCCAACCAATTCCATGACAATTCAAAAAAAAAAAAATATTCAATGCCGCTACGGGCGACTTGGGTGCTGGTGCGGGTGCCGCAGCCGGCGGCAGACATCCCAGCATTCTTGCTGCAGTATCTATGTAGGCGAGAGCAGGCGGCTGGGGGTAACAAATGGAAACATACAGGTTTCTATTGCGCTCACGGCTCCCCTATTTTTTTTCTGTGTTCTTTTTTTCTTGTTCTTTTTTCTTTTTTCTTATTCCTTTCCAATTTTGATTTTTCCTTTTGCATTTCTTGAACATCTTTTGTAATGATGAATAATTTTTGAAATAATTAACATTTTCTGGGATCATGATTTTTTTTTGAAATTCATGTTTTTTTAATTATGAATTCACGAACATTTTTTATTTTTTAAGCTTTTGAAATTTTGGAAAAAATTGAAATTCAAGAATGGGTTATCTAATCAAGAACAATTTTAAAATTCTAGAACATTTTTAAATTTGTGAATAGTTTTTCAAATCCAGAAACAATTTTTCAAACTTGTGAACATATTTTAAATTTGATTTTTTTTCAAATCCATGAACATTTTTGAAAATCCAGGAAATTTGCAAACCATGAACATTTGTTGAAACTTGGGCTATATTTTTTTCATATTCATGAACATTTTTGCAAATCTAGGAATGTTCTCAAATCCCTGGAATATTTGAAATACATGAACATTTTTTCAAGTTCAAGAATTTTTTTAAAATCGGGGAACAATTTTTAAATTATGAACAATTTTGAATACATGATTTTTTTTGCAATTCAAAATATTTTTGAAAGTTCAAAGTTTGTTAAAAGCCAAAGGAGAAAAAACAAAAATCGAAAGGCAAAATAAAGATCTCCTTGTCCCCCAATGGACCGGCCCAAACCATGTTAGTGATGATCTAGGCTGAGTACTCTGCTGCTCCTGCATGTATGGCCTTCGGGTCTACCTCTGTACTTAAAACTGATGCTTAAAAAAAACCCTCTATACTTAAAACTTGTTTCTCTCTGCAAATAGAATGGGCAGCGCTCCTGTCTTCCATTAAAAATATGTAATATCTACAAGGGCACGGGATGATAACTCCTGCAGCTAATCATACATAGATACAATTTTAATTCACAAATGGAAAGGGTGAGGAACAGAGAAGCCTTGTGCCTCTCTTTGGTCTTGTTCAGATTTGAGAAAGGGTGCGGCTGTTAGTAAATGGAAAGGGAACAAGAATGCTGAGTACTCTCACCGTCGGAGAGACGAAAAACATGATTAAATGGGTATAAAAGCCAGATATATAATCTAGATTGACCATTGAGGGCATTATCAATTTAATGCTTGGCGAAAAAGGATGTATAATAGTACATCCCAATACAATTTTAATTCTGTCATACACATTAACACATCCGAGGAGTTATGTGGCTATTCTAAGTGCAGAAGAAAAATGATATAGATGAGACGTAAGAAAGGATATGCGATCGATCATTGTGTTGCACTACGTGGCATAGTAGTAGCTATCAGTTTGGTGTACTCGACTTTCATCTTCTTCAGCATCACTACCACATCATGCATCGTCATCCTCTGGTCAGGCAAGTCACTAGAGCAGATCAATCCCAACTCGAAGACCGAAGCAAGAAAACCACCATCCTGATTGCAGCTAGAAAGAGAGGAACCCTGTAGAAGCTGGACATCGACAACTTGGACAAGCTCTGCAGGAAATGCCTGATGAACCCACTGCCTAAGAGTTAGTTGTGCGCCAAACATAGCATCGGTGGGTCTTCTTCCGGTGAAGACTTCAAGGAGCATGATTCCATAACTAAAAACATCGCTCTTCCGCGATGCTTTTCCAAGAGATCCGTACTCTGCTCAATAGAAACATAAATATAAATTGAAGCACAATTGTTCAACCATATTGCTTCAGGTAGGGACTCAATTTATAAAAGGTTTAACAAGTATTCAATTGAACAAGATAACGAGAGATAGCTAACTGCATACCAGGTGCCATGTACCCAACTGTTCCAGGCATGCTCACACATGTCATGCTGTTGTCATCTAGAATCAACCTTGCAATGCCAAAGTCCGCCACATGCGCCGTCATCTCCTCATCGAACAACACGTTGCTAGGCTTCAAGTCACAGTGCAAGATCAAATTGCAGTACTCATGGTGTAGATAATCCATTGCCATCGACACGTCTAGCATGATGCATAATCTCTCAAGGAATCCCAAGCGCACTGTACTCTTGGTCTGATGTAGGAGCATCTCCAAGCTGCCATTTGGCATGTATTGAAGCACTAGCGCTTTGAAATCAAGATTGGAACATGTGTTGAGTATCTTTATGAGGTTGCGGTGTCGCGCCATACGAAGCACTTGACACTCGGCATCAAAAGTTCGAATGGCATGCTCTAGCTGCACGTCAATAACTTTTATAGCGACTACCAAACCAGTGCTTAGTTGGCCTTTGAATACTTTTCCAAAGCTTCCGCATCCCAAGATGTTACCTTCACTGAAATTATTGGTGGCATGAATGAGCTCATGATAGGAGACTATCTGATGGCCTATGACATCATTTGCATTGACAAAATGTTTGTCCTCTCCCCCCTTAGGTTTCTTTCCGAACAATAGGTATACGGAAATGGCAAAGGCGCCAAAAGCTAGTGTAAGTGTTGGGAGTAGAATTTGTAGCACATGTTTGTTACTTGAGTGAGGTATGTCAAGGCATGGCGAAAGATCTAGGTGCGGAGCGCCACACAGCCCAACATTTCCAATCAAAGATTGCAATGTGAGATTTGAGAAAACACCTCCCTCGGGTATTTGGCCTTCTAGACTATTGAATGAGAGGTTCAAGGTAGTCAAGTATGTAAAGTTGGCAAGGAATGTGGGAATGCTACCAGAGAGATTGTTAAAGGATAGGTCTAATGATGCTAAGCTTCTTAACTTTTTGAGTGGGCCTGGAATTGATCCTTTGAAGGAGTTATGCGATAGATTTAGGTAGATTAGCATACTAAGTTGTCCCAATGAGTCTGGGATGCTTCCTATCAAGAAGTTGGAAGAAATGTCCATTTGGTATATTTGTCTTAGACCTGAAACATCGACTGGTAGTGCACCAACAAAGTAATTGTGAGAAATATCTAGTGTGATAAGTTTATCTAGGTGGAAAAGGCTTGCAGGTATCATTGAACTTAACTGGTTATTAGACAAGTCGATGTTTTCTAACAAACTAAGATTTCCAAAGCTACTTGGTATAGATCCTGATAATTTGTTTGCATGGAAAGAAAGCCGCTCTAGACTTCCGAGCAAACCCATTTGTGCTGGGATAGGGCCTAACATGTCATTACCTGACAGATCAAGCCATCCAAGATTTTCCAACATAGCTATGGATTCTGGGATTGGCCCGGTTAACAGGTTGTTTTCTACACCTAGTCTTTCAAGGCTGCTTATGTTTGAGATTTCTACCGGGAGCCCACCTATTAACTTGTTGTCACCTACATTAAAAAATATTAATCGTGAACTGAGGTTTCCCACATGGCCGGAGAGGACGCCTGTGAAAGAATTAGCGCCTAACCAAAGGAATTGGAGCTTTCTGCACTTGGACAGAGCTGATAAGAAGTCTAGATTCCCCTCTAAGTTGTTATATCTCAAATCGAGATTGTTCAAAGCTGCATTTTTTCCAAGTGCAGTTGGTACTTGGCCGGACAATTGATTCATTTCCAAAGCTAGGTAAGATAATTTGGATAAGTTGCCGAGGGAAGCTGGAATTTTCCCTGTCAACTGATTGGTTCCAAGATACAAATGTGAGAGTTCCTGTATAAGACCTAATTCTGGCGGAATCTCCCCTGTGAGGTTGTTGTAGGGCATGTCTATTATAGAAAGACTGGTGAGATTGCTTAGACTAGCTGGGATTGAGCCAATAAGCTTATTAGAACCCAACTCAAGCACTTCAAGGCGTGGCAATTTGGCCAACCATGTTGGTACAACATCCACAAAAGAATTTGCAGAAAAATCAAGTACTTGTAGGTATTGACATGATGCAAGCCCTGATGGAAACCGACCAGTAAATTTGTTACTTGATAATGAAATAAATTGCAACATTGGGAGGTTGAAACTTTGATTGTTCGGAAAAATTCCAGTTAGGTTATCATTTTTTTCGAGCCATATGGCTTGCAGTCTAGACTTATTGTACATGGCTTGTGGCACTAGACCGGAGAGTTGATTAAACTCAAGGCTAAAGAACTCGAGCATAAATAGGGATGCAACAGAATGTGGTATAGGACCTGACAGACTGTTATTTGCAAAATGGATGTACGTCAATGATAGAGTGTTGTTGAACAAATATGGTGGTATTTGGCCACTCAAGTCATTTCCAAGCAGATTAATTTTTTTAAGGTTGTACATATACAATAACATCTTAGGAGGGATCTGCCCTGAGAGTTGGTTGGAACCTAGACTAAGGATCTCGAGCCTTGTGAGGTTGCCTAGGGTAGTAGGTATGGCATTTGATAGACTATTCCCTCTAAGTCCGAGATATGTAAGACGATGTAGCCTACCAAGTTCAGCTGGAATCGGTCCAGTAAGATTGGTGAGGGTGAGGTTGAGGACGGAGAGGAAAGAGAGGTTACCCACATGAGGTGCCATGGGCCCAGCAAGTTGGATGCCCTGCAACGATAGAGCAGTGACATGTTGCCTACGCCGGCTGCATGAGACGCCGACCCAATGGCAAAAAAACGTGCCGGTGGTCCAGTTGCCGGCAAGGATGCGGTGAGGGTCGGTGAGCTGGGCTTTGAAAGCGAGCAGTGCGGCGAGATCGATGTCACTACGATTGCCATTGGTGGGAGTGGGAGAAGAAGCCGAGATGGACGAGAATAGGACAAGCAAGAAGATGGGAATACGGGCAGCCATGCATCGAGAGGCCATTGAGCTGGGGTGCATACCTATGTGCGGTGAACAGCCTGTGGGAGTAGTTACGAATTTATAGGCACTTTCCGTAGGATCTCATGCATCCTTCTCGAGGCCACAAGCAGCGCATCGATCTTTCCATGGAAGTGGTCGCACCTTGCGCTAGCTTGCCGCTCTTGCCGGCGGTCACACGGCGCTGCAAGCACATATAGAGACACGCGCACAGCTGTCCATCGTACTATGATGATGGAATCTCAGGAAGCTCACCGTGGCGGCAAGCAAGACGACACGGCGCTGAGCTATCGATCCAACCTTGAGTCGCCCAAGCAGACACGCCCAGCTTTGCAATGCACACCAGACTTGTCAATTCCGTATACTAGTCAATATTTGGTGTTGTCACTACGTACTATAAATTTAAAAGTAAGACTAGATAGCCTCCGGGTTCCGGTTCGTAAGATGGTGTCGTTTTGTTGACCGCCGAGCTGACTCTCTGCACGTGCCAACGTAGCTCTGAACTTTATTTTGTAAGTACTTGGGTGTGGCACTTACTTCTTTTTTAGGGAAAATTAATCAAACACCGTGGCAGTATAAAGAACATCATAAGTAACAAAATTTACATCCATATTCGTTGACTATCTAGCGATGACTATATGCGCTACAGTGAGCCGAAGGCGCGCCGCCTCCCATAGTTCTTATATGGGCTAGCCCACTGAGTTGCTGATTTTCTCGTTGCGCTTGTCTGCCTCGGCGTGGAGCTAGCTTGCATTTCTTCTTCCTTTTTGTTTTCCTTTTTCTTAGTTTTATATATGTTCAGACGCGGATCATACCCCTTTATATTGATCAAATAGCAGGAGTGTTTGGGGTACAAACATCTTCAGGCGCAGATCGTATCCTTTTATAAGTTTATAGCGGTCAAATAGCAAGTGTTTGGGGTACAAACGTCTTGAGACAGATCGCACCCCTTTATAAGTTTATATTGGTCAAATAGCAAGTGTTTGGGGGTACAAACGTCTTGACGCAGATCGTACTCCTTTATAAGTTTATATTGGTCAAATAGCAAGTGTTTGGGGTACAAACGTCCTCAGGCGGATCGTACTCCTTTATAAGTTTATATTGGTCAAATAGCAAGAGTGTTATCCCCAAACTATGTTTAGATGGTTAGAGGGACAGTGGTATCCCTAGCCCACCAGGGTTTAAGTCTTGGTGCTTGCATTATTTTTGGATTTATTTCAGGATTTTCATCGATGCGCATTCAGTGGGAGGAGACGTTCTCATCGACGACGAGACGTCTACGGTGACTTCGTAAATCTCAAGATGATATGCCATGTGTTTCTTTGTTGGAATTTCTTCCTTCCTGACAAAAGGTGATACCTTCAAGCTCGTCTCCTCTGGCCCATATTTCTTCAACAACATGTGTATATGGGTGTGCTAGACCGGATAACGGCATCTCCAAATCGGACTCTTAAATCGCCCGCAACTCTCCATACTGCATGGTCCGGACATGTTTAGCCATCCAATGCGGATCCGTATCGGTTCGCCAACAGATCCAGAC